AGAATGCTTTCCAATAACATGTTTGTCTTGAAAATGGAACACATTTCTTTCAATAGATTGTAAATACCAGAAACATATTCAAATATGTAATGAAATTAATTGCGATGTTGAATTATATATTGAAGCTATGTTCTGCATTTATTTAGTAGTAAGACAAAAATTATTGTTTATTTATCGTCAATTATCAAAAGGAGATATAATTTGGCTCGTATATAAGTTTGTGACAAGCAGTACAGACAAATGATAGTTATAACGTATTAAACAGTTCAATTTCAACACTGATTATATAATAAATACATGAACGTTTGTTCTCGAATCCGCCCGTAATTATATAAGCATACTTAATTCAAACTGATTACAAGCATCTGCGCATTTGGGATATAAATACTCCTTGACAATTCTATTTCAATTAAATTTCTTACTAAATGATATATCACAGGAATAATTATACTGCACGTTAGTAACGCCAATTTTCATGTTGATGTTATTCATATACAAAGGCGGCAGCTACAATACGTTTTTTTTATTTGAAATAGTCCAAGTATGCAATTTCGGTATATCTACGGAATATTATGTTGTAGTAGTTTTCTGGTGCCTTGTATTTTGCTACGAGCAGCGGTGGAAATTCGGTCTCGCGAGATATCAATTTTCCAACGTTGCGAGTAGAGAAATACATAGCCTCAGCTACTACAACTTAATTTTCCTTTCATTATATACCTTTTCTTTTTATTCAGAAAATGAAATGTAGTTGTCAAGAAATAAATTTATGACTGACGGATGAATACGTAATACTTGCAAAACCGGCCACGCCTTTAATTATTTTAGTTCCCGTTTCTAAGTGGAACGTTATACAAAGCTAAGATCGGAACCAACGTCAAAAATAGTCCGACACTTCCATATATGGTACCGTATTTTTCACTACGTAATACGGAAATTTCTATCCGTTGAAGCGTATTTGCGCTTCTAGATTTGCGTGTATTTAAGGGAGAAAATTTATAGGTATATAATAAATCACCTTACATCAGTTAAAAGATTAATGAAATGTGTTAACTATCTGGAAAAGGGAAACTCTCTGAAAAGCAAAGGGAACAACAAAATCACATGGAAATTGCAGACTTGGCTTGTTTGAGTTTGTTCAGAGATACTGGAAGAGAGCCATACACTTACACCCCTTAGCACACTTAATGTATAAGAATCAATGATCCCGAAAAACTAGAAAATATAACACTGAAGTTAAAAGTACGGGGCAACTTTTCAAAGCTGCCACACGGAATTTGACACTGATGTTGTGAAGCACAGTGTGCCTTTAACAAACAGCAATGGTTTATATTTTAGCAACATGTTTCTTATTCTAGCGTGTTAAAATAGGCTATTTAGTATGTGTCCTGTCTTTCGACGTCATTTCATAATTAGATATACGAAGACAAATGTCAGGGAAAATCTTGTTTATTCTTGTTCAATGCAAATATTTGATAAGAAATGTAGGAGGGATGTCGATAGTCATTTAAATTGTAAGGTGATATAATGTTTATTTACCAAAAATTAAGGAAAATAACATTTGTTTTTGGAACAAAAACATTTTATTGCATGAATATCTAAAACTCATTCCTTATAATATACGTATATCAAATATCCGTGCTACTTTTCTCAAAATAAAACAGTATTGCATGTCCTATATATATTTTGACGTGACGTCATACAAACATAGCAAAAGGATGCGCTAAATGTTAGCGCGTCAATGAAGAAAAATATCCCTTTTGCCGTTAACAAATCATATTTAAGATATGTGATATTAAATAGAATATTAAATTCGTATAGCTGCATAACTTAAAATTTTGAACTCATCAACTAAAGTAATATCCTGCTCGCCACAGACTTTGATAATATAATGTTATTCAACTCGTTCAACTCGTTCAATAAATTCAGTATTGAATCTACACTTATTCAATATCCTCTATATATTGTTTTGCTTAATTCCAAGACAACAGAAGCTTTGAACTGTATTCATAATTCAATCAAGATTAAGGTCAGAGAATCAATCCTTTCCTTAATGTTTAGTCTGGTAAGAAGGAATTTTCAATTTATAACCTTAATCTTCTTTGAAAGGTAAATCAGATAGAAACATCACGTAAGTATTGTAACAACATAATATAATAACATATCTGCTCAATCTACAAAAAAAAAATTAAATACCCATTTCTGAGGCTTATTAAGTCTTCAAACAGTTTTTACTTTTTGAAATAAAAAACAGAAAATAAGAAAGAAAGACTTGTATACTTTTGAATAATAAAAAAAAAACAATGAAATTTAAAAAAAGGTTATATAAAAAGATTTCATTACAATACAGAGCAAGTAAATAGTGTCTGAAATATATGAAATGATTAAACATTCAAACATAAAGGGAGGCAAATGTTTCCATATTCATTTCCTTAAGATATTCTGTAGTTACCTTCGTAGGTTTATGTTGCAACACTATTGTTTCCATCTATGATCATTTTAAAGACGTCTTAAAAAGACATTGTGAATTACTTAAACCCCAAAAAATTATCTCTATAATATAGATATAAACAGTCATTTGTGTGTACTTTGAGCCCATATATCGTACATTATAATCTTAAAAGAAAAATCTAAGGCATGAATATGCGATTTTGTATTAAATCGAGGTTTTTGTTTAAAAGTATCAGTAAAGCAGGAAACTTTTTAAGATTTTCTTAATTGTGAAATTTTTATAAACTACAATAATTGCTTACATCAGACATTAATTTATTAGAAACCCATGATCCTTATGACAATTTCTACAATAATGAATAAATGACATTTTAGATGAAAGGCAAAGCTATTATCTGTTAGTCTGCGAAAGTCTGTGACATTTAGAATAACAATAAGTTTATTTTATTATTAAAGATGTAAACCGGTAGTGTGTTATCAGATGCATGGCAAGTATTAGGTATGGCAAAATCGATAGTAATCTCCTTTAGTGGCAAATGTTTAGATTAAAACATTTGATAGTAATGTGAGATATATCAATTATTGATTTTGAGAAAAAAGGTCATGATACGCTTTTAGCAGACAATGATATTATGTAATGGCATGGTCATAAACGTATATTTAATCACAGTTTTGGCAAATGGTTGGTACTAAAATGGGTCGAGATTGTTTTCAAAAAGTTGAAAAACATATTTCTTTGAATAATTAAAAGGACTTGCAAAGCATTTGCATTTTAAATAAAGCATATTCCGTATTTCTCATGCCTTACCAGGTTGTTCAATGAGAAAGGTAAGTAACTTTACTATGACTATATATCATTCCTTAAAACATATATATTTTGCTCTAAAATTTCTTGAATGTTTAGAAGAATTACTTCTAAATATAATAGTCCCGCTACTTTTATTACTGTGACATTTAATTACAGAATGACTTTTATGGTATACAGGGACACATAACACAATTTACTTTTGATATTGCAATAAGGACAGGTAATGGCTTGTCCTGTGTATATAATTGTCAGTTGGTATCATTCGGGAAAGAACAGTTTTCTTAGTAAGTATAACTTGAAAACGTCATGTATTCCTAAAAAACGAAAGAAAATTTTTTAATGTTCTTTCTCTTTACATTTTAAAGGTCCATTATCCGTCTGGATAACTAACATTTATATTTGATATCTAAACCTTTTTATTTTTGAATCTTGTTACAGCTTCTAAAAGTATTAATTTGTTATACATATGAACTGTATTTTGCTTCATTTGCTATTTTGGCAATTATATCAATATAAGTGAATAAATATGTTATATCGAAGTCAAAATGCTTTTTTGTTTATATTTTGCTACTTTTATGACACATATCTGCACGTTTATTGCTACTTTCTTCAGTTGTGAAACACCTCTCATGCTCTAAATACTGCTGAAAACATATTTGATATTTCTAGAAAAACGATAAAAAAGTTTGGATTTCTGACGCATAATGTGCTTTAAAGAAAGTGAAATAGACATAAAATACCTATTTTTAATGACATAGGTACAACTATAAATGTAACTTGAAAGATGGTACTCTATTTGTGTGATAGTATCATTGTCATATCATCAAGAAATCCTAATACATGTACGTAAACAAACTAACACGTGTAGAACCAAATAAATGTATGTAAACAACCTTATTCGTGTTTATAAAATTCATGATTTATTTCTTTATTATCTTTTACAAGTATTTCGGTTCTTGTGTCCCGGCTGAGCTATGTAAGAAATACAAATATTATGTTTCTGGCTTTTGGACCTCAGTGGGGTTCCTTTCAAACACAACTTCTTAGTGCTTGCAAATACACAAGAGAACAATGTATTTGTATCAAGTGGACAATCATTTATGAAGGTAACGATGTACTTTTAATAGTTTTAATTTGTTTATTCGACCCTCGTAACTAAAAAAAGAATAGCAAAGTCTTTTTCGACTTTATTTAAAACGTAGTACGTACAATAAGTAATGTTATTATCAAGGAATATTAAAACAACGCGGCCTGCATAAAATAATTGAAATGTCAGAAGGAAAGCAGGAAAATACATGAAAACAAAACATATTAAAGGAGAATGTTATAAAATACCTCTAATATAAAATATGATAAAATTATGCCAAGCAATTGCATTAATCAAATCAAACTAAAAAGATGATACAAAGCCGCAAAACTTGATACAACTTAACAAATAAAAAGACAACAATGGGATACCGCCTAACCTTGATAAAATTAAACGAATCAAAATAAAAAGAGAAAGGAATACCTATTAAACTTGATCAAATCAAACCAATTCTGATGATAAAAACATGGAATACCGCTTATCTGATATAAAATAAACCGATCAAGATTAGAGTTGGGTTAAATACAAACATCCGTGTACTCATAAGAACGACAGAACTTTAACAATTAAAAGGATGCAATACAATACCAGTGTCAGGTAATATAGCTAATTAATAAATATCGGGTTAGAGGACAATCAGTTTATCGTAAATAAAGTCAAACTACAAAGCAAACTAAACAATATACAGAAACAAAAGACACTCAAATGTGAAACGAAATTAACCAGTATTCTCAATGCTTTAAACAAATGTTGTACTTAAATTCTGATTGCATTACAACTAAATTTGAGTGATCACTATAGTCCTGAGTTACAAACACATGACTTGCTTCTTTAGCCAGGGCTAACAGTCCATCCATATGGATATCAGATCCTATTCCAACCACAAAAACTTTAACATCAGCTAATTCCTTGATATTTGCTATTTCATTTTTTATCATACTTGGCTTTTCAAAGTGACCATTAGACAGAACAATGAGGAAGTTTCTAGCATTATCTCTCTCGGAGGTGTTGAACGAGTTTTTAACAATTTCACCTATAGCATTCGTCATGTTCATTTCATGGCATTGCTTATCTTTACTACAAGCATCATTTCTTGTCCGGCGTAAGACTCTAAGATTCAGAGTCAGTCCACCTTGTGACTGGTGATTCGACAGTTTTATCACATTCTTTAATGTCTCGCAAAATTGAAACAATCCAAAGACCGGACCATCATGTTCACCTATATGATCAGTATTTGTCACAATTGATGTCAGTATATCTACTGATGTTTCAAACTCATTTTCAGTCATGTCATTACTTTCATCCAAAAGAAACACGATATTTGAAAAATGGCTAACGGCACTGCAGTCATCACAGGTAATATCGACGAGTTGTTTCAGTAAGGTATTCAGTGCATTAAAGTCGCCGACAGAAAAAACGTAGGACGGGCTATGTTGGTTTCCAGGTGATGCAATATCTATCAGTTCTTGGTGTGACACCTCCTTTCCTATCCCTTTGAAAATGAAGATATATTGGTTCTTTCAGCATACAACTTTACAACTAAATGATAATTTATTTCTGATTTCAATATAAAATTATATATGCACTTATATTAGTAATACTTGAACTTCTGTAATATAACAGATTCTTCGAAAGCATTGAATTAAGAATAGATAGGTAAATAAAAATCTTCTTTCTATTTTAATCTGTAAAACGTTGGTTGAAAGTGCTTTTAAACATGAAAGTGATCATTATTAAGAGCTACATAGAAAAAAATGAAGAAGAATATGAAGAAAGTAGATCCATCTGACTTACGTTGATTGAGTTTAACTTTTAAATTCTTAGCATACATACAATATTAATAAAAGTTAACCGATGACAGACATTTCCATTAAGACAAAAAATCAAAACCTGTACTTTTAACGTACCTATTGCAACAACGTGAACATTATGGTCCCTCAATGCCTTTGCTGCCAATCGTGTATCTTGTCGTTTAGTTGACATTCCATCGGTCAGAACAAATGCATACGTAAGTGTCACCATCCCTTTCCGTCTTTCACTTTGTCTTGCAACGTTTAATGCTGCATTTAACCCTTTGTTTGTAAAGGTAGCACCCGGTCTAAATGAAATTTTATTTATTGCATCTCGAAGATTGTCTTTATTTGTAGATTGATTAAAATTTATTTCTATTTTCGCCTCGAATGAAAATGTTACTATCGCGATTTGAAATTCTTCTTTGCTAATGTTAACTTGATCAATGAATTTTAATACAAAATCGAGCTGCTGACGAAACTCGTCTTTCGTTTGACTTGTTGACGAATCTAACACAAATATAACGTCAGTTGGAAAGGGTGTGCAACCTGATAATACTGAAAAATAATATTTCAAATTATAAAAAGATCCCTTTCCTAATGCTATATAAAATTCATCATGATAGGGAGATCCCTACAAAGTCATGAAAAAATGGATAAAATGATTTAAATTGCTTTTTGGTTTAACTGAATATGTCTATGATACAGACAAAGAAAATAAAAATACACCTTTCTACATTTAGTTTCTTTGTCTCTATCCTTCCTGCCCTTGTAGCATTAGTGTTACATGTTTTATGTTTGAACACGTTATGTACTGTAATCAATGATCCTGCAGATCAGCATACCACGACTAAAATAAAGTTAGGACAACTTCAATAATTCACATAACACCCGCAACAATCATCAATTGTTTTACATTAAAAACACTTATATAAATACTGAGTAAAAATGTTATAATACTATTTTCATATGTTGCACAAATATATTCTACCCGTTAAAAAAATAATGTAAGAAAACACGTACGTTCTTCACAGCAATGTCCAAAAGTTCTGTCCAAACATTGACAACCGTAATCGCCTTTCTTCATCGTTCCACCATATAAACAACTATCTCCACAGATTCGATCCTCAACCTGGTCCTTAATGTCTTTGTCACATCTTTCTGCACAGTTTTGAAAGTTGCCGTATTCCTCAAAACAACATAAATGCCTTTGACGTTGTTGATGTCCACCACCACCACAAGACACTGTGCACGTGCTCCATTCTTCCCATGAAGACCAAGTGCATACTTCATCGCAGCTTCTTATGCCACTGGGTTGTTCAATGCGAGGTTTCTCTATCAAATGTTTGTTTTATAATGTAGATACACATAAAAGTTCAGTTATCTAAAATAGTTTCGATGAGATTATAATATACTATTCAATATGCTTCACCAATTCTATCGATCTAAGAATGTGAAAATTCAATACGGAAAGAAATACAATGTTAGTTAAGAAAATTGTTCACAAAAAACCGGTTAGTTATTGTAATATCCTTTAACACAAAATATCTTTTCAAGTTGCATATCATATAGATAGGTTTGTTTCATAGGTTTTGAAAGGGATACTTTATCGGGAGCAATGAAACGTGTGAAAATTCTTAAAACGTAATTAACAGTACAAGTTACGAGTGGATTTGATATCTGATTTGATGTATGTACTTAACATAATTATTCATCGATAAAATCACCTTATTGGGTTAATTTCAATGTTATATGAAAATTTGTAAATTTTATGTAATATTGATTTTTGAAAATATTATAGGGAGAATTTTGGCTTGGTTAATACATACCAAAATAAATAAAAAAAGAATAAAAACAAACAACAATTAAAGAATAATCAAGACAAGCAAACATTATAAAATATAAACACACCTCTTGTTTCATTTTGTACGTCAATTATAACCAATACCTTCACATAAACGTAACATAAATTTGGTATTACAGTCTCTCAATATGCAATTTGAGACAGGTATTTGCAGCAAATTTCAGTTATGTTGTGCAGCTTCCCTTAAATTATTAAGTTCTGATCTGTGCAAAAGTGTACATTGAGCAGCAAAACTTTTTATTGAAAGTGAATGTATTTTACAAATGCACTTGAAACTAATTTGGTTGCTTTCATTCTATCAGTTGTAAATGTTATAAATTTCTGTGTTTAAGATATTGTTTTTGCTTTGTGTATGTACATATTCCGACGGTTTATAACTATATAACTGTAACATGTATACGTTATTTTATAAGCAATTGTTATAACCCTGATTTAGCTAACGTTTGAACATATTTATTTTTACTCGACCGCGACATATGTATATCAAATCCGAATGAAATTATACACATACTACCACCTTAGCGCAATAACAGGTTAGCCCGTATAATAGGGGTTAACCTGTTACTGCTTTAAGGTGAGATGCAAGCAATATAACACTCGAGGTGACAAAAAATGTCGGTCCTAGAGCTGAAAAAGACTTCATATGTAACCCATCATCCTAAAAAAATATATTTTTAAGAGTAAATGCTATTCTTTGATAAAATAAGAATGTTTTAACGTGGTAGTACACTGTTTTTAAAAAGGTTATTGTCAACTTACCCAGGCTTGTACTTTTTCTATATGAAGTGATTTTGAAAATTGGACAAAAAAATAAAACGTCACTTTTATAGATGCTTGTTAAATGTTTTCATTCGATCAGAGCATGCCATAATTATTTTGTAAAATTTGTATTAGTGGTATTGTATTTCACCAATCAGTATTTTGTAAAACAGTGCATGTCAGTTGTATATGGAGGCATTGGGCTGTGAAATCTTATGCTTCAGTCACACTACACCGTTAGCCTTAACGGACGTCCAACGCATAAGGCCGTTATTCCATTAGTACATGATCCGTGACCGGCGTCAGTGATCCGTGTCCGGGCATGTCCGTGGGTTTTATTCCATAGGTACGTTATTTTCTCTATATTTTTAATTGAAGTATAGCGAACAGAGGATAATTATTTGTAGAATATGATATAATTTCATTCTAATACCAAAAACAGTTGTAACATCAAAGAATTAGGTAACAAACATTGAATATCAGTTAGGTTTTCAAATAACATCTTTTTAGCAACCGAAGACCAGATGTTGTTTTTTTTAATCTGTCATTGCTGCATCATAAACTTATAGGTTCTCCCAGACTACTTTGGTGACTTCTTTAGTATTTTCTTTCGAAATCGATAAAGTATTTAATTTCGTTCGAGGCATTTTGTAGGGATGAAACATGTCAGTGACTGTCCGCGTCCGTTAAAAATCGCTCATCCTGCGAAACGTCGCGGATGCCGTCGCGGAAGCGGATGGTAAACGGACAAAAGGAATAGATTCAACGTATTCTTTGATTAGCGAATCGGTAACGGATGCGGATGACGGACGCGGACCACTGATCACGTATAAATGGAATAGCGGTCTAACAAAATTTTCAATCCGTCCATGTCCGTTCTCACGCGTTTCTCCTCCGTTTATCATGCGGCGTTTGCGCTTCTTGTCCGGCGGTGTCCGGCGGTGTTCGTCCCGTTCGGTGGATAGTTTTGAACATGTTCAAAATTCGGAACGTACACCACCGGATAAATTTGTCCGTCAGATGTACGGTAACCATGCGCTGTTGTGCGTTTTTTCGTTACTTGAACGTTCCTTATTCTGTACTTGTCCGGTTCGAGTCCATTCTTGTCAGGTGGACCTGATTCACGGCCGGACTACTAACGGACATGCAGCGGATGTAACGTATGTTAAACGGACGATAACGAACAAGGGACGTATAAAAACTGATAAATAACAGGCATGAACCGATGGTCCATCGCACAAATTTGATGATGAATAAAACGAAGTTTCCCTGGTTATAACTGTCATATATTTTCCTACATTTCAAGTGTAAGGACCTTCTGAAACTTTGATAGTTTGAGTTAATGATCCACATATCATGGAGTGTCGCGTTAGAGTCCGCCTGCTTTTTCAAGCGGCCGTGATCCAGGCACGTATTGACCTGTTGGATGCGTATGTAGATATTGTCGCTTATGAAAATAGGAGCAGAAGGAGGCGACTGCGGAGGTGGTGGTCAAAGGCTTGGCTGGGTCCTGAGAGACGTCGAATGTTTGGTCACTATGATCAACTCATGATGGAGCTGCGGAGAGAAGTCCAGCGGTCATTTACGAACTTCATGAGGATGCCTCCAGAGATGTTTGATGAGATTCTGGAACGAGTGGGTCCCAGAGTAACAAAACAATATACCACATACAGAACCCCTCTTGACCCTGGAATGAAGTTAGCCTCAGACATCTTGCGTCAGGGTCAAAGTATTCCAACATGCGGTTTGCCTGGAAGATACCTCACAACACCACCTTTGTCATCGTGCGAGAAGTAAATATTTTTATTTTCCCATGATTCTGAATGATAACTCTAACAATTACATGTATATAATTTCTGGTCTTTTAAAATATCAATAATTTGCTTACATAATTATTTCTACTTTTAAAATCGCATTTTTATTTACATTTTCAGATGTGCAGAGCAATTTTAGACGAGTATGTGGACAAGGTCATGCCTTTGCCAACAACAGCTGCTGACTGGAAACGCATTTCAGATGGCTTCTTGGAAAAATGGAACTTTCCTCACACTTTGGGTGCGTTGGATGGCAAGCATATTGCCTGTAAGTGTAGTTCCGGTTCAACATATTTCAACTATACGAAGTACTACTCCATTGTCTTGCTGGCCCTCGTTGACTAAGACTACAAGTTCATTTGGGCCGACATCGGAGGCCGCGGTGCTGCATCTGATGCTTAGTTGTGGAACGAGTCTGACCTTAAAGCTTCAACTGAGGACGGGGAACTTGACCTGCCGGACCCCGAGCCCCCGCCACACGACACGCAGGATGTGCCATTGTTCTATATTGGTAAGAAAAAAATGCGAGGAAATAAAATAAATGAACATGCTGTAATAGACTGATTTCTTTTAAATGTGTATTGTACTTGTAAATGCATATAATATATTACTTGTCTATTTTCAGGCGTCGATGCCTTTGGCCTGAAGACTTATATGCAAAAGCAATACAGTCACAGAGCCTTGTCCAATGATGAAAGGATTTTAACTACAGGCTTTCAAGGGCTCGAAGAGTGGTTGAAAATGCTTTCGGCATGTATCACTTTGTAGATCTGAGTCTTTTGGAATTTTTACAGACGGAGTTTCTTCCTAAGTAACTTCAATGGTTTCTTGTTCTTGAACAGCATCATTATCAGAGGGAGTAGAGGGTGACCTTAGAGTTTTCCTCCGTCCCCTAACCTTACCTTTTCCAGCATTGGTAGCCTTGGCTTTTGGCATTTTGGAGCACGTGTGTGATCTTTGAGAGCGTGGAAACTATGATGACGAAACGAAAAAAAATCGGACTATTTATACCAGTTTTGTCCGTCACGTGACCGGTAGAAATACGCTCGTCGAACGTTCAAAGAACATTTTGTCAGTTCTTCATGCGCTGCGTGTACGTTTTGTGGTGAAGTCCGTTAACTGTACGTTATTCATCCGGTATATATGCGTTGATCGTTCGGTCATTGTGCGTTTTGTACGTTTAATGCGCCCCGTACAACGATCATGAGAGCACCGAGCAGCAGCGGGAAATGCTTTTCATCACCGGATAACTATCAGCCGCATTTGTCTTTGCGTTCGGCGTCCGTTAACGCTTTGCGGTGTTGTGACTGAAGCTTAAGGGATAGGAAAAGTGGAAAAGTGAATACATTCCTTCCAATATCATTTTTGTTTTGTTGTTGTTGTTGCCTTTTTGTTACTGATTTTACACTAGTTATATTAGCTATACTAGAACATATGATAGTGCTAGGGTTTGATTTTAATGTTGTATCAAGTTTCCTTTGGCTGTTATAAAATCATATAAACATATATACCAATAAAATGTCGAAAACTAAAAGAAAAGACACTGGCTGGGGCGACATCTCGGGATGTTTCTGCAAAAAAAAATTGTCTCGCCCTAACTGCCTCGCCATTTTTTAGCAGAAAGACCCCTTTATGTCGCCCAAGACAGTGTTATACCCTCGTAACTAACTCGTTTCATGTACTATAACTATTATTAAAGTTTACCTCTTTCACAACAGTAACCTTCGTGTAAAATATCGCATTTACAATTTCCCTGTCCGCTGCTTGATTTCTCAAATATTCCACCATTATAACATATGTCCATACAACTTTCCCTTATATAATATCCACTGTTATAGAAGGATATATCCTTTCCACAATTTGCTAAACAAGCACGAATGTCGGGTGCTAAATCGGACCTGCAGCAAAAAAGTCTGTATCTACTCCTGGATCCTCCACCGCAGGTTCGGCTACACTCGGACCATCCTTTCCAAGGTATCCACTCGCATATCTTATCGCACGGTTCAGCTGTTGTTTTAGCTATAAATGCCAATATCAAACATACAAGTATCTCCATTCCTGTTTGCTACCCTTTGGTTTAAACAAAATTAAAACAATAGCAATTGTCAATAAACTGACAAAATAAAAATCCTTATATCCTCAATATGTTATACTATTTCACTCATTTTTTTCATGTCTGTATGTGATATTATGCTCATATCTTTAAAGTCAAGTTGAGCTGAATTGACTTTATATTTCAAAAGATTGACTATTTGACCAACTGTTGATATTGAAAAATGTTTAGGATAAAATTTAAATCTGCGTAAAATACAAAAATAACTGCCTCACTCTTTTTATAAACTGAACGTTACAGGTAAATACTAACATCATTTGGATCCGTGCGTTGATCATTGTTTATGCGAAGTCAATTATCAAATTGAAAGAGATTAATGCAAAATGTAAACTTATTTTGACTTTCACCTGTTCACTCACTATATATCCTTGGATGGGCATAATTTCACTTTTATATCCAGCGCATGTTTCAATACTGAAATGATAAGTTCACGCAAAGACTCGTGTATATGTCAAACTTCCGGGCGATATTTACATATTAACCTCAAGTTTAAATACACCTCTTAAAAGAAACCAATAAAATACTATAGAAGCTACTCTAAAGAATTATTGTGTGAATGACTAAGAGGTAGCTCTGTTGTAAAAGGCGTGAAAAAAGAGTCACCCAATACTGATTTGATTATTTGAAAGGCTTTTACTTTAAAGACATTATTCCTCATAACGAGTTTTTCCCTTTCTTTACATGTTGCACGCATTGGTTTTACAGCGTTAAATAATGTTTTAAATCATGTCTAAAGGCAGTAGCGCTTAATGTGAATCGATCGTCATAAAAAAAGCAAAATGTAAACAAAGCAGTATTTTGAAATCCATGTTTTGTATCAAATTACTATATATATATATATACAGGTTGTAAAACAAACAACGCAAACGAAGAAAATGGGTCAGGTAAATAGGTTATTAGTATCTTTGGTTTGGATACTATAACAGGACACCAAAAGTAAATTACTTTGTTATAATAACTACAAAATTACTATGGTTGCGTTTCTATCCCCGCCATATTTTGTTCCAACCATTAAAAGTTACCTGTATGTTATATCAGTACACAATAACATTAAACATTCATAACAGAAATTTAATTTTAAAAATGGCAAAAAAATCGCTTTTTTGCAACAAAACGGAAAGTTTTTTTCAGTCAAAACCCATGTTAAACACTAATAACTTATGCCGTATGTTTATTGTGGACAATGTATTGCCACAGACAGCGTTGGAGAACACCTTCTTCTGGGATCTCTGTGAAAAGTTTGACCTGCGCTTCATTCCAATTAGAAAAAAACATTGTCAACTAAACATCAGAATAAAATCAGTCAGCGTGCAAAAACCAACTCCAAATTCTTATTAACTGTCTAGAGTTTAAAATGTATGCCTCGCCTTGGATATATGAATTGCATTGCTTATTCTATTTTTATCATTACTTTTGTTATCATTATATAATATCATTTTATAATATAATTATATTATAGTATATATATATAACAACATAATATGATAGTTTAGTATATGGTGTGGTCATCGACTTATAAGTCGTCCCAGTACTTACGAGAACTAGAGTACTACTCGAGTCCTGCAATGAATTCAACACTTAAAACTCATAAGTATGCTTGCATACATGTATGTGAATCCTGACTGCATAAATATAAATGCGCCCATCTTTTCAAACAGTTTCCATATAACCAATGTTTAATTACAAATATTGTACGCGAATTCTGTCTATATGACTATAAACACGCTGATCGTTTCAAACATTTTCAAAATAACCCACGTTCATTTGCATACATTGTACGTAAATTCTGACTGCATGACTGTAAATTTTGAGTTCTCAACACCGTCTTTTGTCACAAATACTTGACTAGCTTCTTTAGCCAAAGACAGTAGACCATCCATATTAATATCAGGTCCTACACCAACTACAAAAACTTTTACATCAACTTCGTCATAAAGTCTAGCCATGTCATCTTTTATAGAACTCGGATCTTCATATTGTCCATTTGAAAGCACGACAAGAAATTTTCTAGCCCCTTGACGTCCAGTATTATTGTAAAGATTGTGAAATGTTTCATTGATAGCTGTTGTGATATTTACTTCCTCGCATTGACCATCTTTGCTGCAAACATCATTTCTCATCCGACTTAAGATTTGAAGCTGAAGAATAATATCGTTTTTTGAATGGCCGCTTGACTGCCTGATCACATACTTAAGCGAGTTTCTGAGTTGGAGTAAAGCAAATGTGGCACCTTCATACTCGCCGATATTATCAGTATTCTCCACGATAGACTTCATCACATCAACCGATATTTCAAACTCATTTTCCGTCATGCCATTACCCTCATCAAGAAGAAACACGATATCCGAAAAGTGACTTAAAGCGGTACAGTCGTCACAAGTTATGTCAACAAGCTGTTTTAGTAAAGCATACAGGGCATTAAAATCTCCGACAGAGAAAACGTAGGACGGACTGTACTGGTCTCCCGGTGATGCAATATCTACCAATTCTTGGTGAGACACTTCCCTTCCAATGCCTAAAATGCAAAGGAAAGATACATGTCACACTGCTTCTTGTTTAAACGCAAATTATGTTTCACAAACAAATAAATTTTTACATCTTTAGAAAGGGCAAACGTTTAAATAATGGTTTTAGAGAATGTTAGATTTTCTTTGTTACCAGAAGAAATTAGAGATAAATGTGAAATAATGTGTGATAAAAGTAGTAAAATGTACACAAAGAAATAGTTTGGCTTCCTTACAAAATACTAATTTATTCTAAGTTTACTTATTGCCAAAAAGCAACAGATGAAAAAGATGTTTCCTTAATTGGCCATCCAGTAACTCTCTGGATACTATAACAGTACACCAAAATTAAAAACATTTCTGAAATAAAAAAAAAATCCTTTCTGAGGCATAATGGGTCTTTAACTCTATTTACTCACTTCTCTTTATGTCTTTTTTCCAATGAGAATGTAAAACATTTCACCTCTTTATCCTACATGAAGTGATTGTTGATAACTTATGATGTTATCAAGTATAAACTAAGGATTTTAATGTTAACTGATATAATTACCTATTGCAATAACGCGAACGTTGGCATCCCTTAATGCCTTTGCAGCGATGCGTGTGTCATCTCGTTTAGTTGACATACCATCGGTTAGAACAAACGCATACGTTAGTGTGACCATTCCTTCACGTCTTTCACTCTGTCTTGCAACTTCTAATGCTAAACTTAATCCTTTATCAGTAAATGTAGCCCCAGGTCGAAATTGGATTTTATTTATTAAATTTCTGAGACTGTCTTTATCTGAAGATTGATTAAAAGTTATTTCCACTTTTGCGTCAAACGAAAACGTAATTATTGCGATCTGAAATTCCTCTGTACTAATGTTAACGTGGTCAATAAATTGCAATACAAAGTCCAGTTGATGGCCAAACTGTTCAACAGACTGACTAATTGATGAGTCTAATACAAATATAACGTCTGTCGGAAATGGTGTGCATCCCGATAACACTGAAAATATAGATAATAGAGGATGCATCAAAAATTCTTTGTTTACTGTTTCAATATGATGATTTCTAAACGTTATTTTGAAAACATATTACAGAAGTCATAGGATCAGTTTAGCTTTGGTTCCTGATAATGCAATATACCTTACAGTAGTTATTGTTAGCTGTTATGAAAGAAGAATAGATTATTCTGAAATCGAACTATAAATAAAATTGTAGTTTCGTATGAACTCTGTATTGTATACTTTATACAAACGATTCGACCACACGCTTTTTTTCTAGACATAAGTAATAAAAATATGACATTAAAGCTGCATGCCCCTGCCAAAATATTTCAAGAAAATTAAACTTCAGAAAAAACTATATAAAATCTTAAGAAAAGTAAAAACTAGAAATGTGTCATCATGCCACGGATGCCCCCGCATGCAGCCAAAATTTCATATGTTATATTTAGTTCCAAATTTGTTTGCACAAATTATTTTTTTCATTTTAAGTTCAAAGCCCTTAAAACTTTTCAATGTTAACACAAACCATTTTCATACAATGATCAAGGCACTGAAATTATTCAGTCTTAACCTTTTGAAAATAGCATACTTCATATTTGTAGCCAAAATAATGGCTTCATACATTCCCACAAAAGTATGAGTGCTGAAACTGAAAGTTCAAACTTTTTCAAACATTCAGGAAAGATTAGTTTGTCCAAAATCATTTAACCACGACCAAATTCAAACTTAAACTGCTTATTCCTAAGATGTATCTATATTATTTTCAAAGTGAAAGGGACATAACTCTGCCAAAAAAATCATCGAACCATGACCAAATTCCAACTTGGCCTGCCCATTCCTTTGACATATCCATATGTCAAATTTGAGTTGAATATGCAACACTGTTGGGTAGATATGAACAGAAACTGTAAATTTCATATTATTTTCAAAGTGAAAGGGGCATTACTCTGCCAAAAATCATTGAACCATGACCAAATTCGAACTTGGCCTGGGCATTCAAAAAACATAGCCATATGTCAAATTTGAGTTGAATGTGTTGTACCGTTGGGGAGATAATAAACAGAAACTGAACATTTCATATTATTTCAAAGTGAAAGGGGCATAACTCTGATTAAAATCATTGAACCATGACCAAATTTGAACTTGACCTGCGCATTCCTTAATTTCCTTTGACGTATCCATATGTCAAGTTTGAGTTGAATGTGTTGTACCGTTGGGGAGATAATGAACGGAAACTGAAAATTTCATATTATTTTCAAAGTAAAAGGGGCATAACTCTGCCAAAAATCATCGAACCATGACCAAATTCGAACTTGAACTGTATTTTCTCATGACATATCCATATGTCAAGTTTGAGTTGAATGTGTTGTACCGTTACTAAGATAATGAACGGAAACTGATGATGACGGAATGACAGAAAGACGGAAGGACGGAACAGGGTAACACTATATGCCCCGGCCATTACATGGCGGGGGCAAAAAAAACAAGTAATAATTTACATGTTTTGTGTGATTAATGACTTATTTTTCAGTAGTTATCAAAATATTTCTACTGCGTGACTAATGCAGTAAGGGCCCGGGTATTTTTTACATATTTTTGTCTTTTTTTAGTAATTAACGTGGAATGTAAGTCCCGTTTTGCAAATTCCTTTGAGTGTTCAATTCACAATGTACATATTCAAAAAAATTATGAAAAATAGCATGAATCAGGAGACATGCTGCATTGAAGTCGTCTGTTTGAACAAAAACATAACATGAGCAATGAATAACATGAAAAGCTTAATAAGTGACGTTAATTTGATAATTATTGCATATTTGACTCTTGCAATCGGTTTCTACTATAATTAAGATAGTCCTTGAAGATATAAAATTGTTTGTTAATCATTTTTGCAAAATAAAACCACATTTTTGGTCTATTCGGTCCAGTGCTATTTATCATATAAAGTTATTTCAAAAGTAATTGTCACAGTAATATTTCAATGGAACATAATTATCTGAAAATATTTAAGATGGTAAATGTTAAATTGTTTTGAGCCGATAAAGCCCTTGTCGGTTTTAAAATCTGCAGATTAGTCAATAAATTCAAACATTCAAATCAAAACGTATGAAAAAAGGGAAGATAATGACTAATTCTCGTAATCAAAGAATTTGCAAGTTTACATAAAACATATGAAAGATACTTTTATTGCCGTTGAATTTCAACCCTGTATAACAAATGAAATAGGAGCTTTATTTTACTCAAGTCAATACATAAATAGTTAATTAATTGACTTTTAACAGAAAAAAAATGTGTGAACAGAATATATGTCTTAATTTAATCATTTGGTATCATTTTTACTACTTATAAAAGTTATGGCATTGTTTAATTAAGAATGCACTGTATATTATAAACAGACATAAGTGATACGGGCGAGATTAAAAAGTCTAAAGTCGTAAGTTAACAAGAGTTGTCGGTAGAACAGCCAGATCGACTATTCTCAGTACTTGATAGTAAAACAAGAGCCTGGATAATGAGGAATTTTCTATGTTCAAAAGGGCAATAATTATGTTAAATTCCACGCGAGAGTCATGGGCCTTGAGCAGTGACAGTCGGGCTAAAAAATTACCAAGATTCATAAAATACATACGTTGTTCACAGCAGTGACCAAATGATCTGTTTTTGCACTGACAACCGTACCCATCGATCTTCATCGTCCCATCATATAAACACACATCACCACACGACCGATTCTCGGATTGCTCATTAACGTCTATGTTGCAAAAGTTTGCACAGACGTTGATATCGTCGTAACCAGTTGGACAACATAAAGGCCTTAATCTGTTCTGTTGTCCCCCGCCGCCACACGTTACGCTGCATTCTGACCATTCATACCATGACATCCACTCACACGTAGTCTGACACGGCTGTCCTTTTGTAGAATGATTACAAAAGACTGTCAGTAAAATGTATAAAAATGTCAATGTCTCCATAACAGTTATAATTCCAAGATTGTTTTTCTCAAAATTATACTCACTGAATCCAGTGTCCTCTAACGTGGAAAAAAGTACAAAATCATCGCTCCATATAGAAACCGTTCTTATTCGATAGAGCTATATCACTACAGATATATATGCTGCTTTTGCGTCCGAAAACAAGTGGCGGCATGTCCAAAAATCCAGCATAAAATTACAGTCAGAACACTTCGAAATATTAGACATTCATTTTGTACTTTTTAGGTTTACTTAATATTTATATAATCCTAACCAATATTTGAAAGTAAGCTATTGTCATAACCTGTGAAATGGAAAAAGCATTATTCAGTTATTCAGTATAAATATTCATATGTTGACGAACACAAGTAATTGGTACAAATGCACTGACGAACAAAATGTTCGCGTGACTCTGTATGTTAATTGCTTTTCAAATATGTAGATAAGTTTGAATAAGCATATTATACAGTGTTAGTTTTAAGTGGTTTGACTTTTTCAATGTCACTAGATAAGATGATTATTTCTATACGGGGATATAGCTCAGTGGTAGAGCATTCGACTGCAGATCGAGAGGTCCCTGGTTCGAACCCGGGTGTCCCCTACAATTTTTTGTTCATTCCACAGGATAACTGAATCTCTCTTTTTATGATTCAGCTAGCTTGGTTGTAAAAATGTAATCTAAGCACTTTGAGTTCACCAGAGCACAGTTCAGCCACCGCATACCTTGCAATCGTGTAAAGCTTTTATTGATAATGCAGGCAGGGCATCACCCCCCCCCCCCCACACACACACACACACACACAACCACCACCACCACCACCACCACCGCCACCATCCCGACGCCCGTAGATATGCCAGCATCGTTGCTGAAAATGTAGAATCGCGTATTTAATTCTGAACATGCATCAGAAACTAAAGAAATAGAATGAGAATTTTTTTTAATCTGAGGTTGAAATGGTGTTATTTCCTTGACTTTCTAGTGCTGTTTGTGGTACCTGTCGGATGGTTTAATATCACATTGTATTTTGTATAATTATGTTAGTATTTACAAGGTCTTTCAAATAGAATTCCGTAAGCATTTACAAAATAACAGCACACTTAACCGGTTGATTAAAATAATTTCAAACACTCGATCAATTTACTCGTCTGAATAATAGTTTTCCAAAGTAAAGTGTTATAAAAAATACTGCCTTTCTGTTGTTCAAAAATAATTCAAACACTAATATTCAATAAAAAAAATCTATCAATGAATCCATTTAGATATAAAAGATGTAAGAACAATTTAATTAAATTTTATTTGAAAAATTTAACTGCCATAAAAATTAATAAAAGCAAATGACCAATCAATCATTTCATCTTCATAAAAATCTTAGTAAATCTTGTTATTAAAACGCGATTCCTTTAATATTATCGTTATAAAACTCGCCACCTTTTTAATTCACACATCACAATTTTCAATTTCAATTTCTTAATTATATGGCTTTTATTGATTGATTGATTGATTTAATGATTGATTTATTGATTGATTTGTTTATATATATAATATACTTCAACACATTCAAAATACGTGTCCAAATCAAAAATATATTACTGATACTATAAACTATGTACATAGTTTAAAGTCTCAGAAATATTTTTATAGAATTCATTGATTTTGTATTGACACGTATTTTGGGTAGTATAGCTGGTCCTGGGGGTGGTACCCTGGGGGTAGGGCTTGATCCGACGCCGATAACCTGTAATACTATGAAGTTAGCTTTTAAGGGGAGGTCACTGCGTATGAGATTAAATTATCTGAAACCACATTAGCCTCCCTTACCAAGCGCACTGTTCTTCTAAGGGAGGTAACTATAAAAGGGTGTGTTTTATATTATAATAAGAGTGACCTATCGTTGTCTGGTACCCGTCTAATGTTGAAGTTAGGTACCTGCCAATGAATGTCAACAAAAACGGAAAAACTACCTGTTCTAGTTTCCACAGAAATTAGAACAAAATTTCATGTTAATTCCTATGCAAGTTACGTTTATAGGATAGGTTGTTACTCATATTTTCTAAATTTATGAATGACAACTTCTCTCAGGGGAGAAAATTCCCTAACTGTCAATGAAATATTTTTGCAAAATTCTAGGCGAGTGACGGCCATGATGATATAAATCAAAGTAGATAAATAATTTTCAAAGAAAATTTTATGCCAGGTGAGTATTTATGGATTATTTAACTTTTATATTATTTATTGATTTCCTTTCAGTACAGTGTGGAAAAGTGTGTCAAAAACATGGAAAATATGTTACTGTATTATTCTAGCCCAACAAATTGTGCTCTTTAGGGCTTTTTATCGCAAACAGGACGTTTCGGCCCCAAACCAAATCGGCCCCTTTGCAAAAATCGGCCCCTAGACGTTTCGGCCCTTTTCCGCGCGACGTTTCGGCCCTTTTTTATTACAGTTTTATTAAAGTATTAAAGGAATTTTTATACATAAAAATTGTTAAAAATTGTAGTATATTGATTGATTGATGGCACACAAACAATTAATTAAGACACTAAAATCCTTAATTAATGATCCTTTATAGATTTATCGATCTCTTAATTTAACTATTGAGATAAATGCTTTTCAATGTGTAACAATAAAAGACACTTAATCCTAAATTTATAAGACAGTTGACAAACTGCAAAAACGTTTTGATTAACAAAGTTAATTACAATTATACCTCAAAAATCATTATCTTTTGATCTCTATTTATCATTTAACAGCTATTTAACTATTTATATATATGTTTTTTCAAGGTGCAACAAATTAATCATTTGTAGCTTAATGCTCATAAGCGGTTAGCATTATCAAAGATTTTTTCTAAATTATGATTTGTTATAATTTCTTGAAAATATTCTGAGTTATTATTGTAACGTTCTGATTGAAAATCTGTCACTTTAAATGTATAAAAATGTTATTTATAAAAAAATGTCTGTTTTATTTCATGATAGTACAAGTATAATTTTTCGTCTGTTATGTGTTGTATTAATGAAACTCGTCACTTACTATTAATTTAATAAATGTTTGTCTCATGTATTGTTCCGTGTCTTGCTTTTTAATCGTTCAAATTAAAAAAAATGATACTTGTTGATGAAAAACAGATAAAATTCTGTTTCATTGTTCGTGTTATAAATATGGGGCCGATTTGGCAAAGGGCCGAAACGTCCGGGGCCGAAACGTCTTGGGTAATTTGGGGCCGATACGTCTTGGGGCCGAAATGTCTCGAAATCTTTTTATCACAGACACTTGGAGTATGGACCCCGCCCTTCTCCGCCCCTGAATATTAAAAACTAAAAGTATTGTTTATTACAAGAATAAGTTTTAAATTTGTGCTTATATTAGTATGAGACGGTTAAGTGTCTAACACATGAACAAGTTTGAATAGAATTTCATAACGTTTTAAAAAAGTCAATTTTTTTCCAACGCTTCAATTTCCTGAAGATACCAAGCTTCGAAATGTAAACACAACTGACCTACATATATTTCAGGTATTCATGTTATCGCATGCCATTTATTTCTGGTGTAAATCAGTCCATGCATATATTCCTTTAATAAATAACTGCATGTTATTATCAGATCGTACCTTTCTTCCAAGCTTTGCACATTTAATTATATTTTCATAACTGAGTCACATGCTTGAAGACTTTACGAATTCATGACCACTGGAATGTTTCCCGTAAATTACAGCGGGAAAATCGCTGGGAAAAAGAAATTCAATCGCAACTACTCGGCCCTTTCCGTCAGTCTTATTGATTTGGTTTCTGTACTGATTAGGGGAAGTAACCGCTGCGGGGTTTTGGTTCTCGGCATGAAAATGAAAGCGCAAAACAGTGCCAAAACTCATTCCAGTCATCTCACATCAAAGGAAAGCGTACGTTGTTATCTTCATGAAATTATGATATTCTAGGGACTTTTTTAAACGTGGTTAAAATAGCGGAAAACATGTTTTATGTTCAAGACATGTGACCGGGTCGTAATAATATGCAAAAATATTTTGACGTACGGTTTGCACGATAAAAATAGGCATGGTGTATACAAGTGCGGATCAAGAAGGGGAGCCACGCACATAACCCCAAGCGACTCTGTGCTTTTTATTATATAGACGATGGTCGACCTTAAAGACAGACATCTATGAAATATCAGATTATAAAATCGGTCTGTCTTGCAGTCGAAATATTGAGACTAGTATTATTCCACTGTGCACAAACTGAACAAAATTGCGGAAAAAAGATCATGTTTAGCTATGAATTTTTTATCAGGGATCGAATTTTTCTTAGAGCCGCTAGTCCGACAGGACGAGTCACGCTTCAAATTTCTACTTGTCCTGCATGATATGCTAACTATCCTGCATTTTGAACTAAAACCAGATACAAAGCTTTTGTTTTAGGTTATGTATTAAATCGCACACTTTTGAGAGCATTGTCGGGCACAGTTACACCCATATCCAATTTACAATGCATAAAATTCAGTGCAATCTATACATACTGGTTGGAGACCACCAAAATCAGACAACTACCAAACCTGGACGGCCCCGAAAATGCTTAATTTAGTATTTTCTTTGTTCATTGGTTGTCAGTCACTTTTTTATCGACAAGAAATGCATGTTTCTTCTATAATTAAGTTAATAAATTCATTTCAACCTCAGTAAATGGTAATATTTTAATGTCTATTTCAAACATGTTGACGTTGAAATGTGGGCGCCAAGAAAGCCATGCCTGACCTTATATCATTTGCAGAGTAAACAATAGAATATCCAAAATTTCAGCATTTGTTGCTAAAATATTGTATATCATGTTAAAAATCAAAAATTCTTAACACCCAAGCTTTTATCTGATTAAATCATGTCATGTACATATCTGTCCGGTCATATGGTACTGTAGTGTAGACAATTTAGGTAATTTTGATACCCTCCTTAACGAGCCTCAGATATAAGTGTTAATACAATCAGAAATAAACAAACTAGTGTGTAACCTAGCTGTACTGTTTCAAATTTTTAGGTCTCTAGGTTTGAAATTATGAAATCTGTATGGAAAAATGTTCAAAAAGTGTGCTGTTGCCGACCTGAGTAACCTAAAACACAAGTTTGTTTCTGGTTGTCCATCGTTAAAAGTAAACAAACTGATTATGGGAATATAGATTCCTATTACATCGGCAAATAATTTTCGCTTGTCCTGCAGGAGGAGCATTCTACCATTTTCTATTCGTCCTGCATCTATCTGTACTAGTAAATACGTGTGGATGAGTGAAATTTTCAATCCCTGTTTATACTGTTTTATGTAAAGCTGAATAGGTTTTTAAAATAATGTAACCATAAATAACTTTGATTAATTCTAGTTCTATACAACTAAAACTTAAAAATGAATCAAAATTCTTCTGGTGAAAAAATTACACAGGTCTTAAAGTAAGTGAAGCAATATACTGGAATAGATAGACCCCTACATTGAATATTTATCAATGTCCATAATACATTGTATATTATACAGTAATTTACTACAAATACAGAATGAGCCTCCTATATATATATGCCTGGTTTAAACCCTGGAGTAAAGCTTTAAAGGATAGTGGAAGTAAATAAGGAAACAAATAGAAACAATTAATAAAAGGAATCATCCTGCATGTGAACCATGCCCTTCAACAGGGCTTCCATTCAGTTCCAAAATTTGAAAGTCAGACATGGTAGTCTAGAATAAAGATGTAGCATGCTTGTTTTAGTTTAGATGTTTGGTATATAAGCACCAAACTTGAATAGATCTCTTAAAGTGACCAAACTGTTGCATTTACATATAAATACCCTTAAAATCTAATGTTATACCTTGAAATTTTTAAAAGAATTTGTAATTATCCAGGCATGAGTCATAACTCTGTCATAGGCTTTGAGAAAATTATGTCCCTTAATCGACAATGAAATTTGGTTTTAGTTTTTTGTGCCACCACCAGTTTACTACCATTTTACTATACTCATTTAAGGTAATAACATTTGATATATAAAAAGCCCCTTATACTTTGCCTGACTTTGCCAATTGGTCTATCCTTTTTCCACTGTCAAGTAATGTTTTAAAACTATTTTTTACAACTCGTTTACGAGATCTTTAAAGGACAGTCACATGTTATTATTCAGAAATCAGGTTGTTATAATAGTAGAGCTTGCTGACTTATGCACAGCTTTTTTTTCACTTACAATGTACTGCTAATATTTGGGAAAGACCTCATTTTGTGACCATTCATGCCACTTGTTTTTATTAATAAAATGAATTTGTTTTCCAGATGAAGCAATTATTCAAACCTTAATCATGACATCAACAGTTATCAAGAAACAAACGTCTGGTGAGGAAGATCCTAAAATACCGGCCTATAAAAAGTTACCTCCTATACCAAACCAGCAAAAAATGATGAACAGGAAAGTGATATCTCCAGCTTCTGTATCAGTAGACTTCAATGCACCAAATGTCCAATCAAAACAGGTTTTAGGTGGTAAAGTTTCTGTGAGGAAGGGATCTGCTGATTCGACAAAATCTGAGACAGTGAAATCACCAGCCAATCAAAAGGCAGCTAATAAAAGGTCTAGTCCATTAGGAAGTGGGGTGAAATCAGGTGTAAGATTAAATGGGGAAGTTGCCTCTGACCTGTCCAGTAGTGGAATAGAGTTGATTGGTTATAAAATGACCAATGGGCAGCTGACATCAAGTACAGGGAAAATGCCAGTCCCGCAACAAGCCAGTGACTGGACCCCATTGAGTAAGTAACTAATAACACAGAAACAAATAAAAAAAATCTTTAGAAAGAAAGCAACCACATGAGTTTTATAATGTTTAAATAATCACTTTAGAGCATATTGAATGCTAAATACCTGAAGAAAGAATTGCTAAATGTGGAATTGTTTGTCAATAATGTAAAAAATGTAAACAAAATAGTATTTGTACAATTGGATATTGATGACCATAAACAGAAAACATTCCTCAATCTGCAAAATAGTCTATAAAAATATATATCATAATCTACTGCGAACATTATTGTTCAAAATTTAAAAAAAAGAATACTTCCAAAATGCTTGAATGAAATAAATATGGTAGTACTAAGTAAATGGACTTGAATAGAATTGTGTATGCACAAAATCATTGCTAAATAGGTAAAAGCTGTAATTTAGCCTACTGTAAAAAGCAAAATAATATTTTGTTCTGGAACTTTTTATTCTGTTTAAAATGTAAAGAAGCCAAAAAAAAAGGTTCAGATGATTAGTCATTGAGTAACTTTTTAAAAACTATCATTGGGAACAGAAAGCAAATTTCAAATCTTTTTGAGAAATAAAAGGTAAAAACATTATTAGATGAACATAATCTAGGTTAATGGATGATTATGATTGCTTTAAAGTACTATTTATGTTTTAATGATAGGTTCAGAGTTACCTCCCTGTAGAATTTGTGGTGACAAAGCCTCTGGATTACATTATGGTGTTAACACATGTGAGGCTTGTAAGGTAAGAATGTTTTTGTTTGATTAAAATTAAAAATTTTCCCCATTGCAAGCTTTCAGCCTGTCTTAACTTAAAGCACAAATGATGAAGGTTCGATAGAAGAAAATAAATAACCTAAACCAGCTCTGGTGTTGATGTGTTGTACTTCTCCAATTTATTCTTATTTTGATTAAAACATAAATAAGCAACAAACTAAATATATATGGTATTTCTATTAAGCTACAGTTACTTAAAATAAATATGTAAACAAGAAATAAGTTATTGCTTGAAATTTTATTTTATCATAAATTATGGTAAACTCTAGTTATATGATGTACATCCAAAGGCTTTTGGACTTCAATCTTTTAAAACCAAACAAAACAAACATTGTACAAGCTTTCACTAATTTAGAGACCTGTGCTATGATGATTATAATATCATCATTTATCCCTTCACATGGCTGAAAGTAGATAATTATGCTTTCTTAGATTGACTTTTCAACAAGTAAGCTAAACTATTGTAATGGCTCAGCTTTGGCATTTTTGGTTAAGTTTTTTCTCATGGACATATTATCTTCAATATCCTTATTACTAGTTTACTATCTAGTATTGAGAGAAGTGGAGCATGCTGTTCCTCAGGCAGCTGTTGTTCTTTAATGTATTTTCATTTTACTTTACTTTGTCTTATATAATATAATTTAGTCATGTATGTAATACTTTATAATGTTATTTCTAGGCTTTCTTTAGACGTACCTTGAAGAAGTCGACAATCAATTTCCAATGTACATGTACACCTGAAGAAAAAGCCCTAGGCACTGACGAGCCGAGGAAAACGACATGTCCTAAATGTCGTTATGAGAGATGTATCAAGACAGGAATGTCAAAAGATGGTACATTGTTAGAAACTTAGTAACGAAATTTGGAATATACATGTACAGAATTTAATCCAGTATGATTGTGTAGGAAACTTTAATCTTAAAGACACACTTTCAAATCTGTTCCTGGAACCAACAAGTACTGAGCAATGAATGTAAAGTTTAAGAAAACAAATTGCCCCTGACAGGGTTTGAACCCAGCCATGCTGCCACAAAACATAATTTGTTATCTTAACTAACAATGGTTTATATAGTAGGGAAGTTTAACTGAAACCTGATGAATTTCTTAAATGGACTGGTCCAGCATCTATATTGGGAAATGTCAGTTATCAGTTTAAGGGATCTGTAGATGAAATGTAGATATAGTCAGCTTTGTAAAGAGCCTGATCTAAATGCATAGATGTAGAGCCTGGCCAGGAACCAGACTGAGGGTAAAGGATAATCAAATTGGTCGGAACATGATACAGATAAGTGTTTAATCATTCTATATATAGAGGAATTTAAATGACTGTAAGCTTAATACTGAATTTATTGAATGAGTTGAATAATTTTATTCAACGACTTCAATAAATTCAGTAATGAAATTACATGAAATTAATATTCTATTTATCACATACCAAACCTAAAGACTGTTGGAAGTGAAAAAGAACCATTTTTCAATGATAATGTTTAGCATGTCATGACGCTATGCTATAAGACAAATGCTGTCATGTCAACATATATGCACGGCTGTGCAATACCATTTTTATGGAGTTGTAAAAGTGGCACGGGTATGTGATAAATTGATTTACTATTACAGTGGTTTTAATTCATTGACCAGTATTTGATTCAAAATACAAACATATAAGGGAAAAGCTTTAATAAACATAAGTTAAATGTATTCACTTTTAGCTATCAAGATTGGTCGATACACGATTTCACGTAAACGTCAAAATGACCGTGAAGTGAAGACATTGAAGAGCGGGGAGAAAACCGAGGGTGTACGAAGGGCCAGTGAGAGTTCTAAAAGTACTTCATCCAGCTCCCCGTACAGTACAAGTAAGGTTCTTCGTTTGAAAATAAAAACTTCCTACTTGACCTTTGAGGCTTTGGGATTTAGGTTGCTGTCTACAGAGATCAAATCATTTGTCCCTCATTGCTGTGGGTTGGTGTCCCATTTGGCATAGTACTTTTGTTAAAGTTTGCTGTCTAGCTAGCATATGAAAATTATGGTTCTGCTTAGGTGCCTGTCTAAAATGAATAACAGAGGGGAACCTAAGTATTTACTCCACCAGAATAAAGTTTTACATTTTACATTTTCAGTTTAATAAGTTATATTGAAAGTAGCCTTCGCAATGTGTAAATTACTTTGTATGTACACTGAACAACATCTTAATTTTTGAAAAAAATAAAAATATTCAAATTCTCATGAAATTTAACATGATTCTGGAGGCAAGCTGCTTTTGATACTGTAGGTTTTAGTCATTATCTTTGCCGATGATAATTGTTGTAGCAAGGTTGATTGTCTTTCCGCAGGTCAGAGTGTTAGTTCACCTGAAGAGTTATCTTCAGATATTACCTCCCTTAGTTTACAAGAGAAAAAGATGATAAGCAGTGCTAAGAAGCGCCGGCATGACGAGGAGGATGGTTTACTATACCAGTCACTTACAAATAGTATCTTTAAATCTCTGATGGAGAATAACAAACTGAAGCCCCCTGCAGTGTCCCTCAATCAAACTTTATCACCTGTCGAACAGCTATTGACATCTGACAACGATTCAGACACCAAAATTTCACCAATGGAACAACTTTTTACTTCACACAGAATCACAACTACAGACTTATCTAGTTCAGATGGTGAAGTAAATATGCCAAATATCGATCATTTAGTGAGTGTGAACGAAGAGGAAGAGGCCTTTTCTCCATTAGCGCAGATTTTTGAAACATATGGTCCATTTTCCGATGAGTTTTCCCCAGTTGAAAATCTTTTCACCCAACCCATTGTCTCAAACACAGTGTCTTCAACAGGTAGTGTACATGTCGATAGTGATATTCAGATTGTCCCGGGTCATAATGGAATAAGTGAACATAATGGTGAAATTCCGTATGATTCCGTTCGTGACGAAGCCTTGACAACGGCACTTTTGGGAATATACGATGGCAGTGAGATTAACTCGAAAAATCAAGGTTCGGAGCAATTACATGACAGTAAACTAATGGAAGAATCTCCAATTGAAAATTTGCTGAAGGCACCAGTGACATTAATGACTGAATCACCTGCCTTCACAGAAATGGAAAATAACTATTCTAGTGAGGTATATAATGCCAACACAGGACACCCAGTGAATGGCACATTGCTGGAAAACAATACAATTAATGGTGACATTTCTCAAAACATTCAAATTCTAGAGAATGGCTACCATCAGGTTAATGGTGAAAATGTTCCAGGCCAACTGGAAGGAAATACATTCATTGCATCTAAAGCAAATATGATTGAAGAACCAGTTTCCTCGGACCGAGAGTGCAATGAAGGTTACTTTACAGGGAAAGAAGTTAATAATGAGAACCAAACGGATAATCTGGAAGATTTGTTAATACAAGAGCAACAGTTAGCAAGGCTTGAGAATCCAGCTGTACACGTGGGTGATAATATGAGCGTAAAAGAAGCAACGCAGTTAATTCTTACGTTAGGGCAGGCAGCTGGCGTGTTGTTTGAAAGTGCGAAGAAAATGTCGTGCGAAGAGATCAAGAAAAGACACGCTGCATATTTGGTAGGTTAAGTGAATGTAGATCATTGGAATTGTTTAGTCGTATTGAATTAATGTTAATTCCATGATTAAGCCATATGTAAAAAAATTGTTGGTTTGCACTTGCGCAACTGACTCATTGAAATTGAACAGACCTAAAAATATTTTTTGACTCACCCAGCATGCAAATTTTTTTTGGATAAAAAAAATGAGCATTTGCTTGCTTGAATCATCACTAAAATATAAGAAAAATTAAGAAATCCGGCCTACCAATTCAATGTTAAAAATGTGGGTTGCGCAACTGCAAACGGAAATTTTTCAGTGATGGCCTTATAACAAAGTACAATTCTTTATTGAAAATTATGGATTACAAGTTCACAAAGTACTATAAAAAGTCATAATGTTGTTAGCAAATTAACTAAAGATAGCTCAGTGCTAACCTCTAGGGTGCATTTGTCTCTAACTCCAGAATCAGCAAAAGTTGCATTAAATTCCCACTACGAACAAAAAAATATCAAAATTCTGTGTTCTACAGGATCAGTTGTTTTCTCAAAACAGAGAAAGACCAAAGTCTCTTAGCTAAACAAAATGAAAGAAAAATACATGTAAACATAAAAGCATGAAGCTGAACTGTAGTATGAAAAATGTAAATGAGATAAATCATTACAATAACATTTATCAAAATAGAATTATCATATTCAAAAAATAGAAGCAGTCCCATTTAAGAATAAGTAAATCTATGAAGGCTTTTTTCCATAATAACATGTAGTTGAACTAAAGCCTTCCATTAAAAGCTGCTACATATGTACACAGTTAAGTTAACCGGCCTTGACATTAACTTTTTCATTTGCTACTCCTGTCATGCAAGTGCTTCTGAAAATTACTTGCCCTGACCCAAAAGCTTGCTTGCCCTGACCTCAACTGGCAAGGTGATAAAAACAACCATAGGCCACATTAGTTTCGAGAAATAAGTTGTACAATCAAAATAATGGGGGTTAATTTATTCGCAAATCATGCAAAGGTTTCAAGTAAGTTGCATGGGGTGACTTAAATTTCCATCATATTTTGTTCGTTACAGGAACAATATGTTACCAAGATGCAAGTATTTGGCAACATGTCGAATATCTCGAAGGAAGAATATCTTGAATTTTACAAGCAGACGGGCATCGACATAGACAACAGACAGGAAATTCTCATTGAAGCGTTGAAATACATGGAAGAATCGATCGGTAAACTCGTTAAATTCGCCAAAGCCATCCCAGGTTTTTCTGAGCTCGACATTGATGACCAGGTCAATCTTGTGAAAGGTAACAAGAGAGTTTATGGGGAAAAGTATAGACTGTATCTTATCAAAATGATTGGATATTGAAAGATTTATTTTAAAGAACATGAATTATACATACAAGTAAGGTTCATTAGCTGTAAGTGCAGTTTTATAAAGAAATATTTGTTTTATTCAGTATACATTTATATACTTAAAAGTGTGACAAAGACATTTTTATACATAATATGTTAAGAAAAACTGATCACTTTTGAAGTACCTTTCTATCTGACGTCTGTTTCGAAGAGAAAGTTCAGCTATAATGATAGCATTGCATTGTCATGAAAAAACCCTTAATGAAACTTGGAATAATTGCTTATCTTAACAAGATGCAGTTATGTCAAAAGTGGTTATTTTAACAGACACTGGCGTTAACACCACAGCCAGTGCTCTTGTTTGTACATCATAGCAATATTGATTATCTTTACAGTGCAACACTTGGAATACTATTTAATTTTCTGAAATGATGTAGACATATGTTATTATATTATAATATAAGGGTTTCATTGTTTTTTGTTTTTTAATTATTTTGGACTTATTTCAGGGAAGGTTTTGTTAACATTCTTTCTTTACATACCCAACTCCTTATTTCTGTCCATTATCTTTCTAATTAACTCCTTACATAATAGTTTTAAGTCTTATTAATATATCATTTATATATTGTACAATGTATATAGTTATTTATAAAAAATTATTGTTCAAGTATAGGTAATAGATATATTATCTTACTCTGGTGAGTTTGAAAATTAAGATTCAATTCTTATATTGGCATAGATTCAGCTACACAGCTAGCTTAAGGATTGTCAGTGGTTTTACTTATGTCGGTGTTGGTAGTTTTCACTCCGGATCAGGACGGTAAGCCGCATTGAATTTACCATAGCCAATCAAGCTCGCCGCATCGTTCCTGGGCAGTCTGTCAAACAGTTTACCAGTACTAGTTGCCTTCACATTCGCAAGGAACTGAAACTTTTGTGCATGTTAGAGCAGAGGTACAGTGCAAATGACGGTAGAAAGATTTCATGATCAATCACAATAAAAGTTACCTGCACTGTCCGGGAATCAACCCTAGGTCACTGACAAAAACCAACACTCTACCCATTGAGCTAACCGGACGGCATCTTATTTACTTTGCTTAGTGCCAACTCATATCTGAAAATTTTTC